GGAGATGGGAAGAGCCAGGGGAATGCCTGGGTATTGGGCCTGGGCAGCAAAATCCCACTGGTTTGCTTTTTACTTGTACTTGGACCCTTGGTCTCGTGCCGGCCAGTTCTGTCTGATGAGAACCTGTCTGACCTTGGCTGCTGTGTCCGTGGCCTGTGAGCTCAGTGGCATTAAAATGGACTCCCAGGGCCTTTAGATGAGCCAGTTTCTGACTGCCCAGGGGAACGTGAGCATCGGCTCAAAACTTGGGCGAACAGCGAGCTGCTGGCCGGGTGCTGCCCATCTCTCTGCTCCGTCGGCCACTGCAGATTAAGATTAAAAGGGCTTTTGCCCACAGTGGAGTCTTAACTGCAAAAGTGGCATCTGTAAGACGTAGGTTGGCAGAAATTACTATGTCATCTCCCTGTTCCCGTAGCTTAGGGACCTTAGACCCGATGGCCTGGCCCACACTGGCTCACACCTGCTCCCTCTCCAGCGGGAGGCCTCTCTGTGTCTCTGTCCAACCAGAAGGTCACTCTTCACCCCACCCCTACCCCGAAGTAGGAGCAGTGTCTCCCGTGAGCCCACACGGCACCACAGACCCCTTTCGAGTCCACTGTCACCCTCAGACACATGGAAGGAAGGGGACGTTGTGACTCTGGTGTGTGAATGACGCTGGATAGTCAACCCCTTTGGCAGACCATCTGCGCTGCGTTACCCCCAGCAGCCAGCAGGGCGGCCCGCTCCGCGCTCGGTGGTGTCTGGTTGGTGTAAACGAATGGTGAGCAGAGATGTGGCCTCTCTGCCAGGTCTGAGCCACAGAGTGGGCAGGTCGGAAACCCTGAACCCCGCGCTCAGCCCGCGCCAACAGGGCCTCTTCCTCGGAGGCCTGGTTTTTCTTTCATTCGTGTACGTTCCACGAACCCTTCGCGCTGTTCTAAAACTAGACTTCCACAAATAGTCCCAGCTAGACACGCAGGGAAAGGTGGACGTGTGAGCATCGCTGCTGCTGCTGCTCCGTCCCCAGTCCTCACGGCTCCCTGCCCCTCCCTGCAGGTTTCTGCCACCTCCTCCTGCCGGACGAACAGTTCCCCGAAGGGTTCCAGTTCGACACGGATGAGTTGAATTTCCCTGTGGAAAACCTCTGCTTTGTGGGGCTCATCTCCATGATCGACCCTCCCCGGGCTGCCGTCCCCGACGCCGTGGGCAAGTGCCGGAGCGCTGGGATTAAGGTAGGCCGGCCTGCCTCCTGGGCACCCCTCACCCCCCGGCGCCTGGGACACCCTCCAGGGACATGGCCCCTGGGAGCCACATGGCCAGCTGGTTTCCTCACCTCAGCTATTCCTTCTCCAAAGCTCTCATTCCCATCAGAAGAAACAAATCATTGGTGTAAACAGATGAGGGTTGTTTTTTTTTTAGAAAATCCTTTTGGGGAAAGACATGTTAGCAAATTAAAAAAAGCAGAAGACTTGGTGAGGTTTTAAGCTTTTTAGTATTTGATTCTCAATATGCCTCGTACAGAAAATGGCATGTCTTCTGTGCTTTTCGCCAGCGGGGGTGGGGGGGTTTAATGAACGTTGGTGGAGTCTGTACCTCTTTATCCACAGCCGTGGGTCGCTGTGCAGGAGTCCTAACGCTGGGGAAGCTTTTCATTCTCGCGAGTCGTGAACACTGCCCTGAACGACTCTGAAGAGGGTTCCCCGTCGCTGGTCATAGCCTCCTCAGTGCACTCCTCTAAGCACAGCCCCTGGGTCGGAGAGAGTAGTAACAACTTGACATTTTTGTCACGTGTCGCTCTCCCCCCAATCTGGGCCCCTCTGAGGTGCCGGTGGCGCCTTCCCCCTGCATCCCACCCACATCGGAGTTGTGTCCTATTTTGCTGGTTTGGGTAAATCGGAGAGTTTCTATCTGACTGTGTCAATGAAAGGATAGACTGTGTATCCTGGGTGGTCACGTACCAAGACGAAACCTGGGGGTTGGCCTCTGTGCTTTCTTTCCGTGAACACCCAGAGATGTGAGCGTTCCTTTCTCAGGACGGTCCAAGCTGCCCTGTCCCTCAGAGCGCGTCTTCCTTCCAAGGCCTCGGATGGTGCTTGCTTCGCAGCTGCACCCACTGATCGCCCTCCCTGTTCCTTGTCACAGGTCATCATGGTCACCGGAGACCATCCCATCACAGCCAAAGCCATTGCCAAAGGTGTGGGCATCATCTCCGAGGGCAACGAGACCGTGGAGGACATTGCCGCCCGCCTCAACATCCCCGTGAGCCAGGTGAACCCCAGGTGAGCAGGAAGCGCAAAGCGGAGCCGGCCTTGAGCGTGCAGACGGTGGGGTGAAAGCTCCCGCCGGGGCCGGCGTGGTTTCCTTCCAGGTCACCCCTGAGTAGGAAAATGCCCCCCGGGGCCCAAAAGTGACCTGAGCCAGTCGTCACGGCCAGCTCCGGTGGTGTCACTGTCCTGAGCACGTGATGGTGTAACGTGGTCAGGTGGGTGCTAGCCCCACCGGGCAGGGCGGGGACACAGGGCTTGGTCATGTGGTGCACCCGGCCGTCTGCCTTCTGTCACGCCGCTGACCACTGGGCAGTACTACCTAGCACCTCGCCAATTCCAGTTCCACAAAGAGGGAAGACACAGTTGCCCAGGTAGTTCAGGGCCAACAGGGAAATTTTGGCAAAAGGTTAAATAGAAATAGGGTTTTTTTTTCGTGTGTTAAGGTTTAGGGCCCCTTCGCCCATCTTTGGGGCTGAGGGGAAGGTTTCATCTCTCCTCGCCTCCTGTCTAAAACTCAGTCATACGATTTCACCGTGTATTTCACGGGGAGAGGGAGGTGCCGGGCAGGCCTGCCCAGAGAGAAGTAATAGAATGAAGGCGCTCTGTAACCTACGAGATACAGTACGGAGAGCGGCTTCCGCAGGACGGGACCATCCCTGGCTTGGCGCCGCTCACCGAGTGCCCTGCCACCTCTGGGCCGAGCAGGTGCCGGGGACGTGACGGGTGACCCTTCCCCCGGTTCTGATCCCAGGGACGCCAAGGCCTGCGTGGTGCACGGGACGGACCTGAAGGACATGACCGCCGAGCAGCTGGATGACATCCTCAAGTACCACACGGAGATCGTGTTCGCCAGGACCTCCCCGCAGCAGAAGCTCATCATCGTGGAGGGCTGCCAGCGGCAGGTCAGTGCGCGGCCGGGACAGACAAAGGGCAAAGCGGCCGTCGGAGAGACACAGCCCGGCTCTCCTCAGACTCAGTACACGCGTGCCACCGAGAGGCCCGGAGAAAAGGGCAACTTGATAGCGGTTTCGTGGAGACACGCGCTTCGCTGGGGGGCAGCCAGGCCCCTGTCCACACCGGCTGGAGGGGCCAGGAGGAATGACCTTGAAAAGGCGGGGGTCGGGGGGTAAAAGAAGAGGGCTTCCCCGAGTGCCACTCACCGAGTCCTGGCCGGTAGCCCTCATTAAAGGAGGGTGATGGGTGTGCTGTCACTCCTCGCCTCGGTGGCTGGGGAGCAGCTGTGGGTCTGAGACTGCGTGTCTGTGGGGAAGGAGCCGTGTCTGACGGGGAAAGGCAGGTGGAGGCGGGCACCTCCCTCGTGCCCGTCGACACGGCTGTGACCCGCACCCCTCCTCCTCCTGGTAGGGCGCGATCGTGGCTGTGACTGGTGACGGTGTCAACGACTCTCCAGCTTTGAAGAAGGCGGATATTGGGGTTGCCATGGGGATCGCCGGCTCCGACGTGTCTAAGCAAGCCGCCGACATGATTCTCCTGGACGACAACTTTGCCTCAATTGTGACTGGAGTCGAGGAAGGTGAGGGCTACGTGTAAACTGTTCGCCACACGCCCGTCCCGGCCCTGCCGGTCAGGATCCATTGCCGTGCACGGACAGCATGGGCATGGGCAGTGGGCAGTCTACGCTGTCAGCGAGACGGTAAAAACCTTGCCTTCCTAGGTCGTCTGATCTTCGACAACTTGAAGAAATCCATCGCCTACACCCTGACCAGTAACATTCCAGAGATCACCCCCTTCCTGATATTTATTATTGCGAACATTCCGCTGCCTCTGGGCACCGTCACCATCCTCTGCATCGACCTGGGCACGGACATGGTGAGTGAGCGTCCGCGTCCACACAGCCTGGTGTTAGGGGCCACATCTGTGCTCCCCGGGCCCACCTGACCACCATTAGCAATTCCCAGCATCAGAGACTCAATGTTAGGCTTCAGGGCAACTGTCAACACCTATTTATCAGACAGGAGTCTTGCCTTGTGTATAATCCTGCTGTTTTATTTCTACGGGGGGGAACCGGGGAGGTGGGATTGTATAATATCTCATGGTATGAAAAGCAGGGGCAGGGATTTTATTACAAAGGTGGTTGATGACTGGCATCCCTCCCTCCCCAGGTTCCTGCCATCTCCCTGGCCTACGAGCAGGCTGAGAGCGACATCATGAAGAGACAGCCCCGAAACCCCAAGACGGACAAGCTGGTGAACGAGCGGCTGATCAGCATGGCCTACGGGCAGATTGGTGAGCAGCCCAGCGAGCAGGAAGCGGGCGAAGGGACAGAGGCTGGGGCGCCCCCTCAGAGCCAGGATCGCCGTGCCCCGGGCGGGGCGGGGGTTTTAAAGTCCTCCTCCCCGGGAGGGGCTCCTAACCGGCTGCCCCTTCTGGTGTTGGATGCGGGGCCCAGCACTGGGCACTGCCTGGGATACACGGTGCCCACCACTAATCTGGCTAGAGAGGAAGGCTTTGAAGAAATGACTGGGTTTAAAGGTTGGCTGGTCGGCCACCACCCAGTGGTGACCCTGGGCTTGGTTTCTGTTCCGCCTGTGGAGCGGGGCCAGTTACCAGGGGCCCCGGGTGGTGGGCAGTGAAAATGCCTGTGATCTAAACACTCTGCCGAGCCCCGTTCTGGTTCGGGGGCCGCCTCGCTGTGGGCACTCGGGGAAGTGGGACAGATTAACGACAGCCGCTGACAGCAAAGGAATTGGCTGGTAGCCCATCCGACTCCGCCAGGAAGACCTAGTTTTGAGCAGAAGGAAGACCAGGCCCAGGGTGTGGGGTGACATTTTGTGCTGAGGAACTTGGGGGGAATGAGTTGGATTGGATGCTGGCAAAAGGCACAGGGTACAGACGTTGAGGGATGGGGGGAAAGTCCATTTCTCAGCGATTGAAAAGTAGGGAAGCGATTCTCCTCAAGGGTCACGCCCTGCATGAAGCAGATGCCCAGGTACTAGAGGGGTGTTGACGAGCAGGACCCACCTGTTGTACCTTTTTAAGTTCTAAACAGGTGATTCAGAGTAGCGAGGGCGCTGGGTATGGTCCTCGCTGGGGAGGAAGCAGGCAGCACTCCTGAGCCTCATCAACCAGAGCCCCCCGCCCCCCCGTGCCCCCAGGCCTGCTGCCCCGTCAGAGGAAGGGGGTGGAGATGCCCAGGCTCTGGCATGAAGGTCGTCTCCCCTCCTCTCAGGTATGATCCAGGCCCTGGGGGGCTTCTTCACTTACTTTGTGATTCTGGCTGAGAACGGCTTCCTCCCGATCAACCTGCTGGGCATCCGCGTGGACTGGGACGACCGCTGGATCAACGACGTGGAGGACAGCTACGGGCAGCAGTGGGTGAGTGAGGCTCGGACCCGCGCCTCGAGCTGCAGGCCGGCAGCCACAGCCGCGCTGAGCCGTCCGCCTGTGCCTTGCAGACCTACGAACAGAGGAAGATCGTGGAGTTCACCTGCCACACGGCCTTCTTTGTCAGCATCGTGGTGGTGCAGTGGGCCGACCTGGTCATCTGCAAGACCCGGAGGAACTCCGTCTTCCAGCAGGGGATGAAGTGAGTACGGCCCCGGTCGTGTCTAAACCCTGTCGGCACCTGGCCGAGTCTCTGGGGGCTGGCCTGGGGAGCAAATGGGGTTTCCTACATTTTTTCCATTGACCTCGAGTTCCTAAATGCGACTAATACCTGGAGGACTGATCTGCCTTTTAACGCTTCACAGGAGAAGATGAACGTGTGTTTGCCTCGCTAAGCATTTACCTCCCTTGATTTCAGGAACAAGATCCTGATATTTGGCCTCTTCGAGGAGACGGCCCTCGCTGCTTTCCTTTCCTACTGCCCTGGGATGGGAGTCGCCCTGAGGATGTATCCCCTCAAGTAAGTCCTTCTCTTCCGCCGCTAGTGAGTGGGAAGTAGTCGAGTGGCTGTCCCTGGGACAGACAGCAGTCGCTCTTCCTCCGAGTCCGGTGGGTGGTGTGCACAAGGATTCCTCTGGGAGGAGAATTAGGAAAGGCTGGCTCATCAGCAAACCCAGAGACTCGCCTGGTCTCCCGGGTCAGGAGGGACGCACGCTAGGGAGGCGGGCTCTGGCCCCAGCTCCCTGCATTAGGCACCCAGCCGGGCCCCTCTCCTCCCAGCCTCAGTGCAGACGTCAGTAGGGGCCAGCCAGGGGTGTCCTGGGGACCCAGATTCAATGACTTACTTACCTCGTCACTGTGTGTCCCATTGTGAGCCCCACCTTTGTGGGCCCCTGAACCCCCTGCTCTCAGGAGAGAGGCTGGAGCTGCAGGGCGGGGGCCCCTTGCTTTAACGCGAGAGTGGGTAGTGGTGAGCAGAGGAGCCACCGACGAACAGCCTGGCCTTAAACCTGAATGTTCACCTACGGGGCTGACCACACCCTCTAGTCCAGCGGTTCTCAACCTTCCTAATGCCGCAACCCTTTAATACAGTTCCTCATGTTGTGGTGACCCCCAATTTCATTGTTACAAATTGAACATAAAGCATAGTGATGAATCACACAAACAATATGTAATTCTATATGTGTTTTGCGATGGTCTTAGGCGACCCCTGTGAAAGGGTCGTTCGACCCCCAAAGGGGTCGCGACCCACAGGTTGAGAACCGCTGCTCTAGTCGCTCTTTGAAACATTGAGTGTTTGGTGCCTGCAAACTGGTTAAGCTTAAGCAGCTGCACCTTGTTCAGTACACTGAGCCACAGCATGGAGGACACTACAATACAAACGTGACTGCAGGCATCAGCCTCCCCATCTGGACTCGGCCAGCCCCTCCTCGGGGACACCCTGGTGGGTGTGTGCCGGCGTCAGCTGCCACAGGGGCAGCCAGGGTCTATCTAGCTCATTATAGTCCCAGCCTGTCTTCCTCCGCAGCCGGGCGGATGGGTAAATCCACACTCTCTTCCTCCGCCCGTGGCTCCTGCTGGTCCCTCCCGGCTGGTTCCCTTCGTGCTCGCCCTCCTGTCGGTGCCCGTGCACCTCGTCTGTGGCCTTACTTACTCGTCATTTCTGCTCAGCTAGATTCTCATCTTAAGGCCTGGGGCAGGCATGTCCCAGTGGGTTCTAGCATCCAGGGCCACTGTTTATCAAGAGGAGGCTACAGTGATGGCGAACCTGTGACACGCGTGTCAGAGGTGACACACAAACTCATTTTTTTTGGTTGATTTTTCTTTGTTAAATGGCATTTACATATATAAAATAAATATGAAAAACATAAGCATTTGTTTTACTATGGTTGCAAATATCAAAAAATTTCTATATGTGACACGGCACCAGAGTTAAGTTAGGGTTTTTCAAAATGCTGACATGCCGAGCTCAAAAGGTTCGCCATCACTGGGCTAGGAGATGGAGCCCTCCAGGCTGGAAGTCCCACTAAAGGGGGGCAGGGCCTCGGGACCCCTAGCTGTGACTAGGGATTTGTTCTTGACGCTCTACCCAGTTTGGAAGGTGAGTTAGTTACGCTGGTGCCTGAGTCCGGTGAGGACCCCTGTCGCTGCTGCTGGGCAGGACACGGAGGGGAGGCTGGTAGGGAGACAGCGTGGCCTCCACGGGAGGCCGCTCAGGGCACCCGTCTCCGGCCCCTGACCGGTTAGGGCTCAGCTGGTTCCTTCCGCAGGCCTGGCCCTCGGAACACCCAGCTGAGTGTCCCCAAGTTCACTGTCCGACCAAATTCAGGGGCAAATGAGCTGGTTGTGACCCTCACTGGCAGCTCTTTGTCTTCAAGGGGCATCGCACAAATGACTTGAGCTCCTTAAACTCTTTACAAAGGGAGGAGAATGTCCACAAAATAATCCAAACTTGCCTTGTCACCCGATCCTCACGAAAGCCACGACGCCGAGGCTGGCTGGCTGGCTAGGGGCTCCTCCTGCCTCCCCTAGGCCCGGGCGCAGAGCGGCAATCTCGTGTTCAAGGCCTCGGTCTGTGTTCTATGTGAATGGCATCTGACTCTCTTTCAGACCTACCTGGTGGTTCTGTGCCTTCCCGTACTCTCTCCTCATCTTCGTGTACGACGAAGTCCGAAAACTCATCATCAGGCGAAGCCCTGGAGGTAAATGAGAGGCATCGTTAG